AGATGACGACAAAGCTTAGGTGCTCATCAAGTTTGCCTTCTTGTTGGAAGTAGCACACCAAGGGGTGAATTGTAGCCTGTAGATTGTTCCAGTGGAATGACTGGGCAGCATCCTGAACTACAAAACTGTAATTTTCTGCAAAATCTGCAATGACCAAGATTTCGCTTGGTTCCATGTTGTCTTTAGTGTGCTGGAGAAAGTGACTCTGCTGTTTGGCAATAAAGTCATGATGTAGTAACTTGCGGAGAGTAGCCATGAAGGAATCCAAAAAATCATCCACTGTATGAATTTTGGTTTCAAGTGTTAAACTGTTAAACGCCTTGCAGCAAGAGCTAGTCTCCAGCGACCTTTGGATCAGCAGATTATGACCCCATGGCAGCTGTATGAATTTGCTACTTCTCCGTTAGTATTGACTTCGCTTTTGCAACAACAGAGCAATACAAGAATGAAGCGGATATTCTCAGGCAAAGATTCCAAATTGCACGTACCATTCCAGGAACACAAAAGCTGCACTGTTTTTGTCCGATGTCTAAAGACAAAATTAAGGTGCATGATTTTTCCTCCTCCTCAGACTCAAGGGAGGAACCAGTTTGTCTCCAAGTCCATGGACAAACTGCATGTATTGATTTTGCAGATATCAAGGGGTATGTTACAGTGATGTATGACTGTTACTGGTGGCTAGCATGTGTTCAGGAGATCCTTCCAGCATCCCAAGAAGTGGAACTGAGTTTCCTTCATCCCCATGGGCCATCTCCATCTTTCAAGTTCCCCTATCGACCAGACACACTTGTAATTCATGGCAAGGATGTATTAACAGCAGTGGAACCGTTCACTGAAACAGGACGCGTATACAAGATCTCCGCCGAGGAGATGAACACTGCAACACAGACTTTGGTTGAGCGAAAAATGAAAGTAACGTAGACCGGTATAACATATTTTTTATAAGTAATTTTGTTCTGCCCTTAATATATATGAGTTGAGACTATATGGTTGTAAAGGGCAAACATGATGCACAGGTAAAATGTGCACATGTACATGTACACAGTACAAGTATACATGTACATGTACATGTACATACATGTACATTTAATATTATGCATACTTTTTCATGGACAGGCTTTCTTCAAAAAATCATAACCTAAAAACTTTAAGAGCGCCCATCCCAATTTTTTTTTAAGATTGTTGCTGACATCATAAACTAACATTTGAAAAATAATTACAAAATTTGAAGCATATTGTTTTTCGTAATTCGAGGTCAAAGGTCATTTTGTTACGCATTTTCTCTGCACTTCATGCTACGATTTTGGTTTTATTTTATGAAATGGAGGCCATTCAAAGAGCTTTAATATGATGTACAACTTGGCTTTGTAGGCGCTATAGTTTTTGAGATACAAGTATTTAAAGTTCGGAGGTCATGCTAATTAGTCAAAAGTTCGTTGACCCGTATCTCAAAAACTAACGAGTCAATTTACAAAAAAATTCAGTTCTGGGGGTTTCTCATATAGGCCAATCAACACACCAAATATCGTTTCAATCTGTGGGGGTCGGGTCCAAAAGCGTGTTGATTTGACACGGAATGACCCAATACGAAAAGTAAAAGCCCCATTACATGTGTGTATATATGTACACGTGTTGGGCAGTTTTTCTCCATCAAACACTAAAGTCACGAAATTTGCATTTCAAAATTGTTGCTGGATGTGAATTGCATTTTAACATTTGACGACGTTTGTAAAGAAGTCATTTTGTTGCCACGTGTAAAAGTTGCATTTCCGTGCCATTTCCATGTCCACGTTACGTACGTTACCTATACATGCAAGTGTCTTAAAGAAAGACACAATTGTGTTTATTGTTGCTGTTACAAAGTGTTAGCACTCCTCAATGGGTTATAAATATGAATGAGATGACATTTGGGTGAATTCATGCACATGATAATTAGTGTCGTGTCAATTTGTAGCAAACATTCTGTCTTTTGTTACGTACGTAATTTTTACGATGACCCCTGTAATTTCTCAAGTACCCGGTACAGAGAAGGTTTTCTAGATTGTTTGTACACAATATAGAATAGTTAAATATGAATAGTCTTCTGTATTGTTTGTACACATGATCATTAAGGCCTCAGGAATGTACAGGAAACAACTGAACAAAATATCTTGCTTTGCTGTACCTCCAGTGTCCCCCTCTCAAATCCCCAATTTGCAGTCAATTGTACCCCGTTAGTGTGGAAATGCCCAAATAGAAGTTCCATTGTCACACTACTGGTGGCTCTGACCAATTCAGGTGTGGTTGTTCTTACCATACCACTCATAACATTCATGATTTGTATAATTTGCCATGTAGCCAGGGATCACACCCTAAGTTATGGTACCTGTACATGTATGTATGCAATTATCTACAATATGCTGTCAATGTGAAACTGTTCATCTCGGCAAAATCTGTGTGTGTGTGTGTGGGTTTTTTTTTTAATCAACACGCAGCAACAGTTTTTATCCCAAGACAGAATTGGGGAAATGTTGTTTTTGTTTCACATCCAGGAACAAAATCAATGTCCAATAACCTCTGTCAGACTATCTGTCCATGGTAACGGACGCAGGCCGTTGCTAGGCGACCACCAACTGACGCGCCATGTGTTTTTCAGCAGAGGTGTTTTTCTTGCGACTAGGACAAACATGGCATTTGGGACGTGTTTGTCAGTCAGATTGCGCCATTTTTAGCATACTTCAAATGCAACATGTTCCACTGTACATTTGTAAAGTGATATCTCAAAAAACTGAACGTGGGAGTACTTGTTTAAAACCCTAACTCCCTAGGGGGTGTGCAAAATTATATTGAAATTGGAGGATTCAGGACTGTTAGGGATAGGAAGAATAGATATTTGCAGCTTTTTAAAAAAATAACCTACCAAATTATTGTTTAAATTCTTACATGTACTTCACTTTAATAAAGATACTTATGGCACTAAACTCCCTGTGATATTATTCATTCTAGCACGCTTTTGTTGTGAAGAAAACAATAAAAGAAGGTCATTTCCACCAATGCGTCAAAGCACATTTTTAAAAATGCCCGTACCAGTGTGTACACGTACATGTAGTTGGTTTGTAATTGGGCAAATCCTTGAATGGGTGCAAGAGTTGACACGATGCACACACACGCTATGGTATGGCCCTCTCGCGAAAAGTCGTACCGGATTTCATAGGATTTTATTGGAACCAGGTTTCATGGGAGTCCGAATTTCATGTGACACTGGAAAAGCTTTTAACTCTTTCAGTGCCAAACTCGTACATGTACGAGGTATATTTGTTAGTACAAAAGCGCCAACCTCATACATGTACGAGGTAATGTTCTTAAATGTTCGTACTTAAAATTGCCTAACCTCGTACATGTACGAGGTAGAGTAAATATGTTATCAAAAGGGGGCGCTCTCGCTCTTTCTAATGGTACCATTTTCATGCATGTATGTACGACCTGTATTTATTTTTTCATTAAAGTTCTTGCGAGAGGGCGCAGCACTAAATCTCGTATTTTCTGCAAAAAGTGCGGAATTTCCCTGTGTTCAGGCCAGTGTTTCAGGTTGTATCACTATGTTTGTGACTACTTTTGACTTTCCAATATATCAAGGATATACCAGAGAGCAACAACAACAAATTTAGTGAGTAAAACTTATTTACTTTTTTTTTACAGAATTTTGAACAATTAACAAAAACGCTCGAAGTTGGGCACTTTAGGGGTTAAACTTTTCGAATTTCGCGGGCACTGAAAGAGTTAAGAACAGCCAGCCGTTATCAACCGTTTGAAACTGGCTACTGACAGCCTCCCTACCAATGGGTATGTTGATTGTCTTAGGTATTGATGAATGTATGATCATATCAAATGATCCTCTAATGTTCCAAGTCATTCACAGTGCACTTTGCATAAACCCTCTCCCATTAAGGCCATTATAACGGGCTCCATTAAGTCATTATCCCGACCGACTGTCTGGCATGTCTGGAAGCTTAATGTCTCCACGCGTGCATCGCCCGCATGCACCGCACGCTCCCAGCCGCGGTCAAATAATAATCTGTTTTCACATTAAACCTAATTGTGTCGGCTGAGCAACCCCTAAGCCTTTTAGTTCGTCACTTCGCCCGTGACGAAGAATCGTTGTGTAAATAACCGGCGAGTCATTCCGGGGGGAAGTGTAACATCAGAGGCTATACAGAATTGCAATTAAAAATGACTTTTTGGTGATTGCGGTCCGCACATTATCCATACTGATTGCGGGGCAAGAACCAGCCTATTCCCGCAAGAACGCAATTATTGCCAGGCCCCAAGTTGTTCAAAATTTGCATAATAAAGTAATAATTCAATAGCTAAATGTGAGTCAATGTTTTTGTCAGTCTCATTCAAAATAATGACTTTTGTATTGCTAGAAAAATAGTGATTTAAAAAAAAAGAATCTACTGAAAACAGCAAATACAACTCCACCTTTATCCTCCAGGCAGTTTAATGGGATTTTGGAGAATTAACATTAAGGCTGAGGTTGATTTTGAAGGATGCAATGTGTTGAGTTTGTAGGCTGTACCTAGCCTTATTATTTTCAGTCATGCGGCCCTGTATTATGCTAGATATTATCCATACTGCTTCTGAATGTCATCGACACTATACATCAACCCATTAACAGTGATTGTTGGAGGATTTTGACGGATGTTAGGCAATGGTCACCCCTCAAATTAACAAATTCAAGAAATGAAACAAATGATTTTGGAGGACTGATGCTGAATCCAATTTTTACATGCTGGTGATTGGAGGATTTTGCAGGATGAGGATGGTTCAGACTAGCACAAATCCTGGGGGTTAGGGTGAATAAAATGTATGGAAATACTTTTTTATTCAAATTTTTGATTCTTGTTGGTATTTTTTAAAATTGTGTTCTTTTAATTTTTTTGTTTAATGGTGTTTTTTTTGGGGGGGGGGGGTTGAGAGTGTTTTCTTTTCTTTTTTCTCAAAGGATGAAACTGTCTTACCCTATCCTCTCCTGCTCTGCCGTCTCTAGTTTGTCTGCTCTCTCAATCACATTCAGGATCGTCTCTTGTTCCTCCCTGCTTAGGGCATCGCTCTTCTTGTATTTGCTGCCGGCTGAGGTGTGGAAGGACCAACCAGAACCCAGCCTACACAAAAGGGGAAAACAATTCACCCATTAGCATTGTACATTGTATTACATTGTATACATGGCATTACACTGTATTACATTGTATTACACTGTACACATATTACATACCTTGTATCAATTCCTTCAATACTGAACTCATACTGGACAATAAATTAAACTCCATGTATAAGGCCAAAAAAAATATTAATTCTGCTTTTGGTTACCCTACGTACATGTACATGTACCCTATTTCGACAGCCCGTACCATAATTTTGGGTGGTAAAAAGGAGGGGGAAAAACAGAAAACCATCAATTACTTAATTACACTTTACTACATGGAGACAGCTCCATATGATACATACACACACAAAAATGCCAAAACAAATCCCTGCCTTGATTGATTTTGAGTGCTGTGATGGTGTAGTACAATTTGCCAGCATGCAGAGAGGGAGGGTTACTTAAATTGTAATTTTTTTGCAGAATTTACTTACTTGGCCCGGAGAGCCAGTTGCCTGTCGTTTGGGCATGTCCACCGATCCACTGTGTTCCCGCCGACAAATTCTCCCATGATACCAGACGCACTGCTCACTGGCATTAACGTTCAAATGTGTGGAAAGACAAGTAGGGAGATTTTACCAAAATAACACCTGGAGTCGGTTGAACCTGGGCCTCAGTTCAGTTGTCCGGATGGAAATCTGAAAATACAAATAATAGTTTTCATTTATATTGGAATGTATGTAGAGTGGACCATTTGCAGCTATCCAAAAAGTGAGCGAAAAAATTACTGTTGAAAAGCTTACTGGGTTTAACGACACTAAACTCCATGTAAAATGATTCCTTCTGGCAAAATTGTGATAAAGATGTACAGTATACATGTAACTGTGTTGATTATTCAAACCAAAGTTGGAATGTAACATCTGATAAAGAGTTGTACTCGTACACTTTATCACTGGACTCAGACAGGCTCCCAACTGCTGTTTTTAAATCTTAATTCTCATACAAAATGCATGCAATGTATACCAGTATATGTCTGCAATGTCTACCACACAACCAGCACTTACTGTATGCACGCATACATGTAATAAGCTTGGAATAAAATTACCAGCAAATATCTGCAAAAGCCATAAATATCATGCCCAATGTATGCAGGGAGCAAACACACTAGTGTCGTAGCCAATCTTGTTGTTTCATCATGTTCATGGTTGATGAGTGGTTGAGTGGTCCGGGCCAATTTATCATGTTGCAGCCATTTGATTTTTTTCCCATTCCGATCAATGTAACCAAAGCGAGGCTGGAGGGAAAAATAGTCTGGTTCCTTTTTGCACACAAACTTGATCATTCTGTACCTTTACTGGATACAGGGAACATGAATAAAATGGTGGAAGCATGATATACATAGGTCTATTACATTGTACAACACAGCTACGTCCCACTCACTATTTTTTGTTAACTAAAAATGCAATTTTGAAGTTTCGTCAGGTTGTACACATATTTTCTATACATGTAGAATATTCTAATATACTGGTACACTGTACATGTTAAGTTAATTGCCATATGGCATGTACAATCATGAAGGAATAAGACTATTTTCTATTCCCCCACGCTAATTATAGGCTATGGGATATATACGTATACATACATATGTACATGTACAACATACTGAAATATAGAAACGGTGAACAGTACCTGTACATGTATACAAGATATCGTAAATGTAAAACATTACAGTATGAAATTTCATAACTCAACATGACCCAACACAACACAATTTGCCAAAGCTACTACTAAGTACTGAGGTTTTCCACAAAGTCTTTCACAGTGGAAATCAATGGAAATAATCAACCTATTCACCCACATAAAATCTGCACATCATTAGTGTTAAATCGAAATATATTAGAAATAGAGCAAATTCTTCACATCCTCATTTCGTTTGAGCAAGTCACTGATAAATTCATGTCTACATTTCCCCATGCTATTTTGAGTTTCATTCTGAAAAATAGATTTGTTTGTTCAATTGCTATTTTCAAAGCAATACCGTATGTTACTCAATTATGAACCAAAAAAATCCACTGACGAATATTTAAACATTTCTTACAAAATTTAAATTTGTTTGCAGCCCGACAATATAAATTCTGATCTCGAAGGGCCCGGGTTAATTTATGCGCAAAATGAAAGCCCTTTTTCAGAGGGATGCAAACATCAAAAATTGGGGGGAAAAAACTAATCTTTACTTTAAAACAAACATACAAATTGAATATGTGTTAGGAGAAAAAAACAAATTGTATTGCCCTAATGCATAGCCCCTACATCCATGCCAAACATACTCGCTATATCTTCACTGTACAGTACCACCGTGTCCACCAGCATTTCCGTGCCACGTGAGGCAGAGGATAATAAAATGCCCGCAGAGGAAATTATTTCATTCATCCGAGTGTGTCTACTCTGACTCGCTTTCCCCGCACAAACACGGCGAGAAGATCAATACGCTGCTTATAAAGTACATGCGCACACGTGTACAAGTGTAGATGCAGATGCAGGTCTAGGCCGTGCATTATTAATAAAACGCTGCGCTACGGGACGAAGGAACAACAAACAGATGGTGTTATGGAATTTAGCGTTCTCATTTTGCAGAGTGACTTCCGCTGTTAATCCGTCGGGTTTTTAAAATTCTTTAATCTCTCTAAGCAGGATTAATCGGATTAGGGATTTGCGGATTTCCGGTAAATGCTCTTGGGTGTTTTCCTTTTCACAGCCAAGTCCGGTTTGAAACCTTGTAAAATTGAAAATTAAAAAAGTGCGGTTGCGCACTTCAAAAGCTGATTAATAAAAGTACATGTTAATGGACACTGATCATTGTTGGAAAAATTTGACCCCAATGTGTGTCGATACACAACGGAGTTAAATTTTTCCAATGTACATGTTACTTATATACATTTTTCATGAACCCTAACTCTCTAGAGGCATTTTTGCCACTGAATGCAATCTTAATCCTGCAAACTCCTCCAACTGCCTCCATGTAAAAAACATACAGCCTCAATCCTACAAAAATCCTCCAGCAATCACTGTCAATTTGTTGAGGCAGAGTCAGTGACATCCTGGAGCAGTGCGGAGGATTTCAAGTACAATCTAGGCCTCAATTTATGCACGGCTGAGCATAAACAACACAAGGTCCGACCCAATACCTTGAAACAGTGCATCCTCCAAAAGCAGTCACACATTTTGTTTGCCATATATAGCCTCAATCCTCCATTTTGCAAAGAGGATTTTGGAGGATTTGGGATGTAAGGGTTAAATGGCAAAACTTGATACAAATGTTGTGTTACAAATTAATCCACGTTTTATTATAAATCACAAGTCATGAAAAACATGAAGTTGACGTGTATTCAAACAGGCAGCAACATTGAAACACTGAGGGGTTTTACCTCAACAAATTCATAGTGTCCAGTTTTGCCAAGGCCGAAAACAAAATTGTGTTTTATAGAGTAAGGCCCTAAAAATTATCCAGGTAAGTACATGTACATGCAGGTAGGAAAATAATTTCATTTGGCTTGTCTATCATTTCTTCAGATACTGCATTCGCTTTTGTGTTTACTTACATGAAGGTTTCTTTAATTAAATGTAATGCATTACAACAAACAAGGACACAGAAAGGCTGATTGCAGATGAATGTTTATGCCCAGCTTGTGTTTAACTTGGTAAAAAAAAAGGTCGCTGACAGAAGTCCACGTATGGACGCTGGTAAGATTTTATTGACCTTTATTTAAGTTTAGGGCGATCGTGTTGTGTATGGTCCCTCTTTAGTTTTGATCAAATTAGAGTCAAGGGTGTTTTTATCATTCAAAAATTACCTTTTAACTTTTTCAACCTAAAGCAGACTTCTCACAGTTCTAATGACACCTTTTTTTGTAATTTTGAACAGTTTCTTGGGGTAGAAATTGCTCTTTTCGTATGCGGTTTACAGTTGGTGCCGTGCGATTCAGCCGTGCGATTGTCATCTTTATTTTCGTGTTACGCTTTGTCGTTGTCATCGTCATTTTTCACCCCTGAATTTCCCTCCAAAAGTCAAAACCTTGCCCTCTATATAGACTATGACATACCTGTTTGTTTTTAATGTTGCCAATTACATGAAGTTTGATAAGTCAAATAAAATTAAAAGTGAATTGTGTTCTGTTATAAGGAACGGGGCCCTACACTACACGATTGCTAGGTTTAGAATAGATTAGAATCTAAGTTGTACCAATGTATCATTAAATGTATAAACCCAAAAAAAGTTCCAGTCATGCCATACGAACACTGCTTATTTTATACTTTCTACACAAACAACAACCGACACAAAGACAATACCATGCGCCTTTCAAATGTTACACCCCCAGAAGAAACAATTGATAGCTGCATCAAAAAGATGTGAATCTGGGACTCGGAAACATTTCCAATTTTGTTAGAAAATACTTTGAAAATACACTCAGTTCTCCATAGACTTTGTACACAACCACCGACGTCTTCTACTACATGTACGTCTGGCATGTCTGGATACTACATTAGGTCATTTTTGGTGGACTGTTTACTGACGGATCTTTTCATCCTTGTAACGATACCGTGCAGCCTATTCATGGCGCAAAAAAATGACGTTAATGCACTGTTGCGCGATGCAACAAATACAATCTCCCCTCCATCCCAAATGGTCGAGCCGAATGTAGAGTTGACCTGCTAAGGTCACGCGAAGATCGGCGCACGCGCAACGTACGTAAACACAATGCGATGCGAGGGTGCAGCCATGCCTACACCAACTTGAGACTTGGTCGTCACCCTCCACTCTTCCCTATCCAGCATTAGGGTCCTCAGCTCCCCCGTGTCACTGAGACCAACATCCTATCGCAGCGTGTCGATGTACGTGGCTCGTCTCCGCCCCCTCCTTGAACAAAACCGTGTAGTCGTTGGATCGGAGACGCGAGGCTGGCGAGTAAAATCTCAGATTTTCCACCAATAAAATGTCCCATGATACAAATGTCAATTGCACCAAAACTCATTTCAGTTATGGATCATGTGGGCAAACTTTTGGGTGGATTTGTGTGCAGAAATTGAAATTACAGACGAAATAATTTCGCCTATCACGGTGCATGTCCAAAATACATAGAGTGCTGACCCCCCAAAATGAAGCCTCTCAGAAGGCGAACAGTAACACTAACAGATGGAGCAGCCTTCTGATTTCAGAAGTATCTGGCTGTCTGGATACCACAATCTTTACCATGTTTACCATGTAAGAATTCATGGAACAACACATAATGTACTTTAGTTACAACACACATTGTTACCTTTTTAACAGAAAAATACAGTCATAAACCCTGTCAATCACACTGCATTGCAAGTTACATGCTAAAAAACACATTAAAGGGAATATACATCATTTGTTTTTGCTGTAATTTTCCGAAATGGATGGAATTGGGGGGGTTGGAAATATATAGCAAATATAGTTACACTGACTTTTTTGAGGTTTTGGGTTCGAAAATGCTATAAAACCAAGAAAAACAATCATTTTCCTGTAGTCTGGTTCCCTGACTCCATATAAGAAGAAACATAGCAGTTTACATACATTGGGGAATTGTAAGGTCAGGGAACCAGTCTAGCTGGCTTGTACCCGTTCATAGCTGTGTAATCGATTGCAAACAAGTGCGATGGTCAATTGGGGCCAGTGTTTGAAAAAAAAGCCAGTTTTTTCCAACGCTGGTCGGCCGACCAGAAATTGATACAAAAGTACCACTTTTCTTGAAAATGACAGTAAACCAGGTGCCATGATTTTACAGGATGCTTTACACTGTCATTCACTAACAGTCCGGCAAGGTATTTCAAAATGATTTGGTGGTTTTATTTTTTGATGTTTGCAAATGTTGTATTTTCCCTTTAAACATGTTAAATTCATCAGAAATTGAGAAAACTGAGAAAGCTAGAGATTCAACCCAAACAGACCTGCAAAAATATCGGGGAAAATATCCTCACATGTTAATGTCACTACGTCCTGACAATCCTCAGAGCTCCGACACAGAACAAACTTCCAAACATTGGCCTTGCACTGAATTAACACGCCAGCATTCGGGCAAAAAATCCAGATGTTTTTGGAAGATTTTTCCCGACGTTCGACGGCCTACTTGGGCAAAAAATTATAATGCTTGAGTCTGGTACCTGCCGACTGCATTTAGGTTCATTACCCGCACAACACCGAGTGGATACAAGGTACCAGTATCATTGACGAGAGAGATTCTGCTCAACGTGTAGATTAAACGCACCGTGATTGCGTTTGAGTCGTGTGACACGAAACACACGTTCGTATTGTCGGACTGCGGTTCTTTAAAGGACGAAGGGGGCGTGTACATTTAAACGAAATTGCCGGGGGGTTGAATAAAAATAAAACTTGTAAAATTTGTAAATTACATTGGTTTCAGAGCCACTATGATACCAAGTTTTTTGTTTTTGCTTCGCCACAACTCAATTTGCTTTGCGTATATTACAAATTATTTAAAAATAGATGCATGTTTTATAATTGTGATAAATCTATAGGATTTATTTTATTCACTAAGATTTAATTGTACAAAGGTTGCAAATGTGATCATGACTACATGATATTTGTTTGAATAATATGCTATCTCACAATGTACAATATAATTGCAAATTCTTTATAATTACCATAAATGAATGAAAGATCAAAACCAAGTTTAAAGTTGCACTCTCTGTGCCCTTGAACAAATCCAATTTTGTTTCTCTTAAATTTTCAACTTTTATTTTTATTCCAACCAAAAATAAACCTTTTTTCTTGGATGTATGTAACCCTTTTAAAAAGAGTTTTGGGCACAAACAGATCCACTTCGTGAGCAGACTGGCTCCCAGTCTGTACATTATAGATACTGATTGTGGGGCGGGAACCAGCCAATAATTTGAAATTTGTAAAAATTCAATAACTAAACATGGACTATTGAAATATTGGCTCTAGAACCGCGCCTGTTCAAAGTGAAAAACTTTTGTATATTGCTAGGAAATAGCAATGCAAAAAAGGAATCTATTTTGGGGATGAAACTTGAAATTGCACGGGAATACAACTTTAAAGATACCCACAAACTTCTTCAAACATTCAAATATATTTTAGTGAAAAAGATTTATCTGTACATATCTTAATGTATATTTTTCACAAGTATATAATCAAAATTACTGATCTTAGGTGTAAAAAAGCTGAACAAAAAAAAGGAATGTTATGAAAATCCTTATTATTTTTAATGAATATAATTTATGAAAATTTTGATGAAAAGCTAGTTCAATCAAAAATTGGCATGATCCTATGGTAGGTACATGCAGTATTTACTAAAGGTACAATACAAAACTAGTTATTTGCTTTTGCTGTAATTTTAAGAAATGGATGGATTGGGGTTGTATTTTATAGAAACTATCCTTCCTGTAACACTGACCTGTTTAAAGGTCTGTGTTCATAGATGCTGGAAAAACTAAGGAAAAAAAATTCTGTTCTTGTAGTCTGGATCCCTGACCCTACTTCAAAAGAAACCGAACAATTTATACTGACGTCAGGGAATTTTCAGGTCAGGGAACAAGACAAGCTGACTTTGGTCAATTGGAGCAGTATTTCAAAAAGCGGGGTTTTTTTTTCGGCGATGGTTCGGCCAACCATCAAGTAAGGTACTCCATAATTATATGGTACATTAGTTTTGTTTTTTAATGTTTTCAATTTTTTGTACATTACCTTGAAATCCCTCTATCATGTATACAAGCGTTATACTGCCCTCAGGAGGCAAATTAAGTCCATTGTCGACAACCAACTAAAGTAATGAGAAATATGTTTAACACTGGAGTTGTTCTTGTTTTTAATAACTCTTTTTACTTTATAATAATAATACTACATGCAACACTATGAAATAGAAGTCACCAAAAAACAAAAAGCAAACATAAGAGAAAATCTCTAGTTTATTTAGCAACTCCCTTCCTCTCTGGGTGCTTCGCGAAATACTCATCACTTTTGTCTGCCTTGATCCCCTGTAAGAAAGATGAATACGACATGAAGTCAAAGAAAAGGTCAACTTGAAACTCAAAGACAGATGAGTTCTGAAACACTATGGACTAGTTCTGAAACAATACGGACTACTTCTGAAACACTAAGGACTAGTTCTGAAACACTATGGACTGGTTCTCAAAACTCTATATACAGACTAGTTCTGAAACACTACGGACTAGTTCTGAAACTCTACGGACTACTTCTGAAAAACTACAGACTTCTTCTAAAACACTTTGGACAAGTTCTGAAACACTATGGACAAGTTCTGAAACACTACAGACCACTTCTGAACTACGGATAACTTCTGAAACACTACAGACTTGTTCTGAAACACTACAGACTAGTTCTGAAAAACTACGGACTACCTCTGAAACACTAAGGACTATTTCTAAAACAACACGGAGCTAGTTTTGAAACACTACAGATTACTTCTGAAACACTACAGACTAGTTCTGAAACACTACAGACTAGTTCTGAAACACTACAGACTAGTTCTGAAACACTACGGACTAGTTCTGAAACTCTACGGACTACTTCTGAAAAACTACAGACTACTTCTGAAACACTATGGACAAGTTCTGAAACACTACGGACCACTTCTGAACTACGGATAACTTCTGAAACACTACAGACTTGTTCTGAAACACTACAGACTAGTTCTGAAAAACTACGGACTACCTCTGAAACACTAAGGACTATTTCTAAAACAACACAGAGCTAGTTTTGAAACACTACGGATTACTTCTGAAATACTAGACTTGTTCTGAAACACTACAGAATAGTTCTGAAAAACTACGGACTAGTTCTGAGACACTATGGATTACTTCTGAAACATAATCCTACAGACTTCTTCTGAAACACAACGGACTAGTTCTGAAACACTACGGACTAGTTCTGAAACTCTACGGACTACTTCTGAAAAACTACAGACTACTTCTGAAACACTATGGACAAGTTCTGAAACACTACGGACCACTTCTGAACTACGGATAACTTCTGAAACACTACAGACTTGTTCTGAAACACTACAGACTAGTTCTGAAAAACTACGGACTACCTCTGAAACACTAAGGACTATTTCTAAAACAACACAGAGCTAGTTTTGAAACACTACGGATTACTTCTGAAATACTAGACTTGTTCTGAAACACTACAGAATAGTTCTGAAAAACTACGGACTAGTTCTGAGACACTATGGATTACTTCTGAAACATAATCCTACAGACTTCTTCTGAAACACAACGGACTAGTTCTGAAACACTACGGACTAGTTCTGAAACTCTACGGACTACTTCTGAAAAACTACAGACTACTTCTCAAACACTATGGACAAGTTCTGAAACACTACGGACCACTTCTGAACTACGGATAACTTCTGAAATACTACAGACTCGTTCTGAAACACTACAGACTAGTTCTGAAAAACTACGGACTACCTCTGAAACACTAAGGACTATTTCTAAAACAACACGGAGCTAGTTTTGAAACACTACGGATTACTTCTGAAACACTACAGACTTGTTCTGAAACACTACAGACTAGTTCTGAAAAACTACAAACTAGTTCTGAGACACTATGGATTACTTCTGAAACAATAAGCCTACAGACTTCTTCTGAAACACAACGGACTACTTCTGAAACACAACGGACTACTTCTGAAATACTACGGACTAGTTCTGAAACACTACGGATTATTTCTGAACCACTACGGACCACTTCTGAAACACTATAGACTACTTCTGAAACACTACGGACTAGTTCGAGTAAATGCAAAGAGGGCCCCAACGGGCATTGAGTGTTCAAGTTTCAACTTCCGAAATTGAAGAATTCTGTAGATGGCAGAGCCATGCAATTGGGCGCGAATGTGAAGGCAAACTAAGATATAAAATCCAGAAAATATATTATTTTTTTTAAAGGAAGTAACTAATAAATTCACCTCATCTAAGAGTTGGTCCGCTTTGGGGTCGACCTGCGAAAGCTCCCTGAAAGCTTCATCTCCGACAAAACAAATCTCAAGACCATCCTGAAAATAGCAAAATATGTAGCACATGAAGTCTTCAAAAACTTCATCTATCACTAAGTGTGTAAACAATTCTCAATCTTTGCAAAAACAGTACGACTACTAAAATTGGTATCTAAAATGACATCACAGCAACAGTGCCCTCATTTGTCAAAAAAAAGCATGGGAAATTTTAAATGCTTATAAAAAGTGCATTTGTCAATGAAATTAGAAACAAAAAACCTTACTGGGTCTGCCAGAATGACGACTTCAACGGTTGCTTTGCCCGGCGTGTCCAAACTAATAAGTGGAGTGACGATCGTTTGATCGGCCGACTTCATAGAACTTTCGATACCGGGAAGCTGAATTGTTTAATATAATAAATAAAAGTTGGGAAGACATTAATATCAAAAAGAAGTACAGAAATGTAAAAGTTTATGTAAAAGAAATTAGTTCACTAGCATATAGACAATGTAAAAACTGCTGGGTGCGGGGAGGGTGGGGGGGGGGGCAAAATTGGAACATACTCACAAGACTATGCAGACCACTGAACCCTTTGGTGTGAAGTAATGGTGGTGGTGCTGGTGTAAAGTTAAAGGACAAACATGTAGTGTCTTGCACTAAAACAAGCCCAAACTAAACTAGGCTCCACCTTCATCCATACACATGTGCAGAAATCAAGCAACCAAAATGCACACCACCATTCACAACCACGCCCCAGTCACAAGTCCACACCCTAATGGGCTTTCAAAGGGGTTTTATAGGGCTGGGTCACATTTGCAAAAGAAATTTCAAGATTAGGAATACTAATGCAGTCTGTCTTTCTTACTTGGAGTTATTTGCATAAACCCTATAGAACTGAGGTATGAGGCAAGGAGCTTATATCCCTAGCACTGTGAGAGTGAACAATAAAGGCTACAATGAGAGCTCCATCTGGGGTTTGACTGCAGCCCAAATACTATATCTATTGTGATTTAAAGTAGGTTAAGTTGGAAAAGTAATGGTAAGCTCTGAAATAGTTTTGTGGCATTAATTTGACTTAAGAACAGGTGCAATGCATGACCACTATGGATTAGGCCCCCAAAAAAGTTCCGTTTCCAATTACATGGCATTTGAAAATAGGGTAGGTAGGTAGGGAATTGTTTTAATTTGGCATTTTTTGTGTGTGTATGATGATATGGAGGTACATGTATCTGCATGTAGTTAAGGGTAAAAGATAATAATGGATGATTTTCAGGTGTTTTTTTTTATTCCCCCCCCCCCCCCAAAAAAATAGGGCATGGGCTGGCAAAATAGGGTCGGCAGGGCAAGTGGAAGCAGAACTATTTTTTGTTTTTGGTTTTTGGCCTTACTGTGGCCAAAGCACTCTCTATATAGTTTTAAAAGTGCATTTGGATCAATAATAAAATCAAAGTTCAATGTTACAATATTTTGGCACTTCTGTTTTTGAGAGTTTATTTAGATTTAGATCTAGATTTATTTATTTTCACACCAATGGTGGCTCTGAGGCCAAATTAAAAGTGTGGAACATGAAATAAACATACAAAAAATACAATTAACATTATCAGTAAATAAAAATACAAATATATTAAATAAAACAGTTGATATAAAACATTTAATACAAAAACGATAAGAACGATGACGCCTTTATATATACATACACTGCAGTACCGGTAGTAAAAAAAGTTATAGGATAAGTGGGAGATGTCGATAAAAAAGAGGACTGGGCTTTTCTTAACCCTATTAGTTCTTGCAAGCAACAGGGACATTTTGTTGTTTGGCCTTAGACATCTGCCATGACCCTCTAACCGTGTCGGGGGAAACAAGTGCGGGAATTTGGTTTTGAGCCCTTTAGCAAAATTACAGCACTGCTGCAACCTCCTATCCGATAAGGGAATCCAAATTACAATGTTGCAAAGTTTGTAAATGATGCGTTTAAAAAAAAAAGATGTCTGCCTATAAGGCCAAAAACAAAATAAGTCGGTCTCTGGTCAGCGCGCGCGTCGATTTTAATCATGCGCGTCAATCTTCTTTTTTTTCCAAAAATGTTCCGCGGTAGCTCCAACAGCGCCCTCTATTGCCGCACCTCCTCAATTTTTTTTAACCAAAGAGCACCAAGGAATGGGAAATTGCACCAAGGCAAGTGATCGAAAGCACCAAGGCAAATTATGGAGGACACCAATGTACATGAGGACACCAAAAAAGCAAAATAGTAACCAACCTTGTCTGTACAATCCAAGCTTGAAGAAAAAAAAAAAAGTACACAAAAAAAAAACGCCGCGTGGCCGCGTCAATTCCGGAACTTTGGTCTGACCAGAGACCGAATAATTATTTTTTTTTTGGCCTAAGTATGCATGCAGGAGGTCTGAGTTTGAGTCCCATCCCATAACAAGGGGGAAGTGTCTGTATTATTACCTGGTCTCGTGGGCAGGCAAAAGCGATGCGTCCGTACGCCGTGCCTCGGTCGATGGCGCCCCCTGCGTCCTTCAGCTCCAGTTTGCACTGGCTGTCCCCAAAGCCCAACAATGCCGTATTTGTCGTCTGCTCGTACAGCGTCATGCCACAAAGCTTGGTCCAGTAATCTGAAGGAATATTTAAAGGGCATTAGCGAAGACCACTGGGAATGACATATCAACACATTTCCATGTCATTTCAAGACACTACGGAATGTACACCGACCCGACCCAACCTGACTGAAATGATGGAAAAACTGACCCTATCTGAATCGAAGTCAGTTTCGGGTCGGTTCAGTTCGAGTTTGCACAATATTATAGCCCATAAAGAAAAAAATTAATTAATTAATGAATCACTTTTCCAGAAGCTAAACTCACACGCATTTATAAGTTTTGAAAGGAATGAATTTGCAGGTTTCCCGCAAACTAATGACTAAAACGACTCCAACTTACCAGTTGACTTTGCAAGGTTCGAAACTCCAACGGTCACCTTCTTGACCGGATCTGAGTATTCACCCAAAAAAATATCGATCAGTACACTTCCAACTTCCAACACTTTCAAACTATTTCTACAAAACCTGACCGAATGTGCACCTTTAATCTTGAAAAAAATAGTTAATTTAATACCTCCTGCTGGTGGTGGTTGGTCTAGGAGAAAAAACTTATATCCACCAGGAGCCTCTACACTGTAGACTCCATCAGATACAGGGAGCAAGGGCCAGTTCTTGCTTCGCGCATTCTGCACAGCCTTGTTGGACTGTATGGTGATGCCCTGATTATAACAAATAAAAACATTATAGAAATAATTATCGCGATTTCATTCCCAAAGTTGCCAAGTCATATTTTTTAATTGCGCCCTCTTGTGATACAATCCCAAAATCAACATTCAGAACATGATTCTAAACTACAAATTAGAGTTGTGAGCCGGTTCACAGAAATTCCCAAAAATGTGTCACTTGACACATCTTTGGATATGATCTTCATTTGTTGTTTTTTCAAATTGACAGCATGCCAGAAGGAATAAATGTCATTACTATCTTTACACAAAGTAAGCTTTTCCACAATGATTTTGTCGGCTACTTTTTGGATAGCTGCAAATCGTCTACGTACTCTACCTTTAAACTGTCATTCTCATGACCTTATATTCCAGTTTTGAGTTAATTGCTGGCATCCAGATAGTAATTATTAAAATGTGAAAGTACCTGAAAGTCATTGCCCAGCCTGTACTCCTTAATGCCGTAGTTGTACGTCAACTCGGTCACAAAATGACTGTCCTCCGCTCCATAGCCCACCATGGATTTGCTCCACTTGCCGTCGTATGGTCTACAAGAGCAAGACAAATATAATTAGAACAGAGTTAAGATATTGAGGGAGGAACTACTGAGTACAAAGTACGGAGATGTTCAAATGATGATGAAATAAAGGTGACGGTACTGAGAATGGTCATTATTGTGTTTTGATGATGATGATGATGATGAGGATGATGGCGGTGGTGAAGATGATGATGATGAAAATAATATCATGGTGACTGTGATATTGGAGACCATTATCTGGGTATGAAATGAAATGAATTTTGAAACAAAACCAAATTTAGGACAAACATTCTTGCCTCTGATATTAAAACAAAATAATGTGTTTTAGGTCTTGTGTATGTTTCATTTTATGGGGAGTACTTCCAGAACTGTAAGGTGTTTAAACAAACCTTACAGAAAAACCAATTGAAGTTGCTGTTACGTAGCAGAAAATTCTCAATTTTTTCCGACCTCCAAAGTCCAAACTCTCAAGTCACAAAATGTTCTGCCTCAATATTTCACAAGTATTATCTTGATGTGGATAGGTACCTCTATAGTTCAGTCGGAAAAGGGGGTATCGTGCACCCTCGGAAATCAATTTCTAATCAACGTGTCTAGGTCAGAAAAAATGCGTAGAAAACGATTTGCTATGTTAAAAAATTCAAAAAATGTCCCACGTATTGTTTTTATGCAAATTAGTGCCGCCATTACCGAAAAATCTATTTTTAATTATATCTCAGCCAATATTGCAGATAACTGAACGAACTAGGTGTCTAAACCCATGTTTTCAAGGTCAGAGATCACAATAAAACTATTCTGGAAGTCACCACATGTGTCTGTGGCATAGGAATATGCAAATTAGTGCCGCTAATACCGGAAAGTCATGTTTTTGGCATATCTCGGCCAATATAGCACATAACTACACCAGTAAGGTGTCTAAACCCATGTTTTGAGGGTCAAGTATCATTAGAGGATCATTTACGAAGTAACTATGTGTGTCTTTGGCATGAAAATATGTAAATTATAAAGTGTCGGTTTATCAGATATTCGATTTTTAGCCAATATCTCGGCCAATATTTCACATAACTACACAAGTAAGGTGTCTAAACCCATGTTTTGAGGGTCAGGTATCATTAGAAGACCATTTACGAAGTAACAATGCGTGCCCTTGGCAGGTAAATATGTAAATTCAAAAGTGTCGATTTATCGGAAATTTGATTTTTAGCCAATATCTCGGCCAATATTGCAGCTAATGTTGACAGAAGGGTTTTTGATAAGCAATAATGATCAAAGTTTATTTTAAGCCATCATATTTAAAATAAACTGTACTATTGGCTGAAATTGAATATAATATTGGCTAAAAATCAATTTTTTGATAAACGGCAAATTAGAATTTACATATTTTCATGCCAAAGACACACATAGTTACTTCGTAAATGGTCTTCTAATGATACCTGACCCTCAAAACATGGGTTTAGACACCTTACTTGTGTAGTAATGTGCAATATTGGCCGAGATATTGGCTAAAAATCAAATATCTGATAAACCGACACTTAATATTTTACATATTTTTATGCCAAAGACACACATAGTTACTTCGTGAATGGTCTTCTAACGATACTTGACCATCAAAACATGGGTTTAGACACCTTACTGGTGTAGTTATGTGCTATATTGGCCGAGATATGCCAAAAACATGATGTTCCGGTATTAGCGGCTCTAATTTGCATATTCCTATGCCACAGACACATGTGGTGACTTCCAAAATAGTTTTATTGTGATCTCTGACCTTGAAAACATGGGTTTAGACACCTAGTTCGTTCAGTTATCTGCAATATTGGCTGAGATATAATTAAAAATAGATTTTTCGGTAATGGCGGCACTAATTTGCATAAAAACAATACGTGGGACATTTTTTGAATTTTTTAACATAGCAAATCGTTTTCTACGCATTTTTTCTGACCTAGACACGTTGATTAGAAATTGATTTCCGAGGGTGCACGATACCCCCCTTTTCCGACTAAACTACTAGGGTGGGTTGAAATCCCTAAAATATCAAACGAAAATGTGAAATTTACAAGAATTTCGTTCACCAGGATCACAGGAGTCTGGCACTCGGCTGTCTCTCATCGTTTGCCGTCGACTACAGGCGCTTTAATTCTCTTGACCAACTTCGGCGCGGCTTTCATTCCGAAAGTGTTTCCGTGCCTCATGCGATGAAATGAAAGCCACGCTGTAGTTGGTGCAGAGAATTAAAGCCCCCTCAGTCGACGGCAAATGACGAGAGACGGCCGAGTGAGAGACTCCTGTGATCCTGGTGAACGAAATTCTGGTAAATTTCACATTTTTGTTTCACATATGAGGGATTTCAACCCACCCTAGAGGTACCTATCCACATCAAGATAATACTTGTGAAGTATTGAGGCCAAACATTTCGTAACAGGAGAGTTTGGAGGTTAGAAAAAATTGAGAATTTTCTGCTACAGCAACTTCAATTGGTCTTTCTGTAAGGTTTGTAAAATCCTTACAGTTCTGTATCTGGAAGAAGTTTATTTTATTTTGTTTTATTTTATTACACTTCTCCACTGTATCGTTTCGGTTTGCGGTAACACCATGTGGTAATAACTACTGCTTAGAAGATATTAGTTCTGAAAAGAACTTGTCCTGCTTATTATCAACTTTGCTAAGTAGTTTTTTGTTCTGCTAAGAACAGTCCTGCTGTAAGTTCTTAACGAACTTGTCTTTGGTCTCAACTTCTCCACTGGCTGATATAAAAAAAATATTACAAGATATACAGAATCACAGATAAAAAATACAGAGAATTTACAATTTCAATTAATTAATAAAAAAAAGAGTTTATGCCAAAATACCTACGGATTAAACCAGTGAGTGGCAAGATGGAACAGGTGACTAGCACCTCTACAGAGCCATCCTACCACAGGAAAACCAGATCCTATTAATTAATTATATATTGTTTTCTTTTTATATATATATATAAAAAAAAAACACACACAAGAGGAGGCAAGGCGTATGATTGGTAGAAAAAAAACAAAGGGGAAAACAAAGAGAAGAAGAAGGAAGAATTAAACAAAGTGGGCGGGGCGATAAGCGATACTAGAACTGAAAAGTGTTAATTTCAAGTGGAAGACTGATGAGCGGAATAAACATGATAAAAGAAATGGTAATTTATTCAAACGTGCAACCAGGACGATGACAGTAAGACACCCAGGTACAGGCATTAACAATAATTTGGGCGTGATAATGGTGGCATTAACTCACCCATTACAGGTGGCCTTGCAGCCTTCTTCAAATTCCTCATGCCTCAAAAACTAAAAAACAGATTAATTGAGCAAACAAACATTTTAAAAATAAACATTGACTATCAACAAACATTTGCAAATCAACCAATTCAGATTTTAAAAAGGGAAGAATCAGAAAATACACACCTTGAAAAATGATTTGAAATCTGTTTATAACGTGGAACATAACTTTAAACACAACTTTAAATTTAGCAGTCAATAAGTTAAAAAAGAACGCCACATGCCACAAAATCCATGATTGTTCGGTATACAGGTTCAATTTGTTTGGTTTCTTAAAATTAACACAAAAAAAAAAAAAAAAACTCAATTTGGTTATCTGCATCCCTCTATAAACAGAATAGTCCGAGTAACTTGGACCCAACTTATCGCCTTTTTTAACATTTTGGACATGGTCTGGCGATAGTGGGGTCCAAGCTAATGCCGCGACCTGGACAACATCATCCTGTCACTGTCCCAAACCAACATTTTCCAACAAAAAACATCAGATTTCACCTTCAAAACGGCCACCAAATTACTAGATATGCCACCTGAAGTACAAGTAGACATCGATGATTAAGATGGTTGTACTTAAGTTTACTTACGATCCGGAAGAAAAGTGAAATTTTCCGTTCAATTCTGAAGACCCCCTCTGCCTAGGTTGTCGTTGTTGTGCTCACGTTCAAAACTGCATGATACGCTGTGTGTACGCGTTCCCAATTGGGTAATGGTGTCTGACCTCGACCTCATGCAAAGGTCGTGACGGCGCGCTTGCGCACAATGCACTGCATGCACGGCAGATTCCCCTGCGCCGCGCCGACGACTGTTTCCTGATGAAGAGTGCTAGCCAGCGCGACTCCTAGGCGTACCGCGAACTTACACAGCACTCTTCATCAGGAAACAGTCGTCGGCGCGGCGCAGGGGAATCTGCCGTGCATGCAGTGCATTGTGCGCAAGCGCGCCGTCACGACCTTTGCAAGTTACTCGGACTACTAACAAGTAACAGAATGGCTAAATTTGTCAGGAAAAACGAAGTTTCCCTGCGGCTGTGACAGTGCATGAGCTGGATTATTGTCGGGTCGTAAAAATATATAATTATTACAATTTACATGAATTAGGCCTGTACTAGCACTGACTAGTCATACTACTGTACTAGTATTTTTTTTGGCAAATGGAGAGTGAAAAGCAATTGTTTTATCATCAGCATTGCTAGTAAAACACACTGAAACATGCTGGCTTAACCTAAGGCCTTACTCCCATTCCAACTGACACAATATTATTATGCAAACCAACATGACCAAGGCATGACAAAGCAAATCTTATATTACAGTGTCACTGTCACAGTCAGTCAGCATGGTCAGTAAATTTTGCAGACGACAAAAAATAATAAACTGTAAAATTACCTGCATTCCCAGCACATCCCGATAAAACTCGGCGGTTTTCGTTCGGTCCCCAACCTTGAAGACAAAATGCAATGCTCGGCGAGATGACATGACTTTATTTTGAGCTAAAACGAGGTAGATTAGGTAGGTGCTTGTTGTCTTGAAAGCTCAAAGTTGAACGTCTACACGCCTACTCGTGAGTTTGTCACGTGGTTCATCAGGTGCTTACAATTAGTTTTGCCACTTGGTGGCGCTAGTACTTTCTTGTGGCGCAAAACCACATTTAACAAGTCCTCTTTCTACTGTCGCGCCGCCACCCTCTAGTGTCGTCCCACTTACCAATGATATCACATTTAACAAGTCCTCTTTCTACTGTCGCGCCGCCTCCCTCTAGTGTCGTCCCACTTGATGATCATTGGTAAGTGGGGCAACAGTAGAGGGTGGCAGCGCGACAGTAGAAAGAGGACTTGTTAAATGTGATATCATCGGTAAGTGGGACGACACTAGAGGGTGGCGGCGCGACAGTAGAAAGAGGACTTGTTAAATGTGATATCATTGGTATGTGGGACGACACTAGAGGGTGGCGGCGCGACAGTAGAAAGAGGACTTGTTAAATGTGATATCGTCGGTAAGTGGGACGACACTAGAGGGTGGCGGCGCGACAGTAGAAAGAGGACTTGTTAAATGTGATATCATCGGTGGGATGTCTGTGTATATGGAGATCAATGGATGCAGCACATAAGTGTGCATCTACATGTACATGTACATGTACATGTATATCTATCAGTACCGTACTCATGAGCTTCTAGTGACGTCATAGTCATGCATATTCATCACGCGCTCTACTGTCGTGCCATTTTATGCTACCCAAAACCACAGACCATGTGCGCGAAACATGCAACCCTGCAAATAAATTCCCATAGACACTAGTGCTAATATGCCCATACTTCAAAAGCTGCACAGAAAAATGATGATCGACATGTCGTCTTTCAATTTCTTTCCATTTTTTGGTGGGCTGACCATTGACTTTTCGAGAAATTCTCGCCCAAAGAAGACGACCCCTATTTTCCCCAAAGCGGAGCGGCAGCCATCTTGAAAAACGATCCCTCCACAGCATGGCAAAATAGCGCCACTTTCGAGCCCAATTGTATCCAAATTGCTCAGAATTGGAAGCCCCGAGTCTGGGCCAGAAATTCATTGCCATATCTCTTCAATTCCCCAATATTATGGCTCCCAGAACTCTCTAATATTGAATATTTTGAGGTGCAACTTTTAGTATTCATGAGCTAGCTCGGCGGATGGATTTAGGCCTTTTTACCGGTGTGCACTCCTATGCGTCGGAGCTGTTTCGCTCGTGGCCCCCGCCCTGCAAACAGGACGCTGGGATACTCTGATGAGCTTCACAGAATCTTGTGAAGGAAGTGGCCTATGACATATTATGTATAAAGCATCTGGCTGCAGCTGTTCAAGACCGCAGTTGTACGCAAATGCTATCCGAAAACTTCCCATAGAATATTGTGCGCATTCCATACTGGATGTGATTTCTGTCAACCTCGTGCCCCGTGGGTACGATCTTGCAGCGCCATGTTGTTTCCCATCATGCCTTGCGCGATGTAACCCCTTGTGTAATTTTAGTGTACCAAAATACGGTACATTATAATTTGGGCTGCAGTTTATCCGTTAAACGTGCCGACACCATCTTTAAAATGTTAAAAGTTGTGATTTTGAAGAATCAATCCATTCAAACACAACGTTTGGACGTTGTGTTAATTAGCAAAGATTTGTATATACGTACCCCTTTCGTGCCTTTACAACCACAGATACAGGTTTTTTTAGCGAAAAACGCGGCTGACATAATCCATATCGTACAGGCATCGCGACTTTTGAATCATAATTTTTTTTTTCGTACGTGACGTTACGTGCAAAGCTAAGCACGCGAGCGCGAGCGCATTATGGGCGCGCAGGGCGTGCAATCTTCGAAATGTCCGCGCAGTACGCTGTGAATAGCCATTCAGCGTCATTTACGTCATCATCACAGCCAGGGGTTATAGTGTAAGGAACGAGCACGCGCCCCTGGAGTCGAGGCTGGATTTCTGTTTCATTGCAGACCATGTATAGACACAATTTTGAGCGTCGTATTAATGCAATCCGACCGTTCGCAAACGGCCTGAGCAAGTGACGGGAATTGTAAATTTACAATAGCCTAGAGATAAGTTTTACAGAATTTCCTACATTATTACGCTTTTCAACGAAAAAGAAATCTCTAAACTGGAATAAAAGAGTAATGAATCAGTCTAACGGCCGTTTCAAACCTTCCAGAGTCATGACCTTGATGACGCGCAGGACTGGTCACGCAAAATCGATCCACCCAATCAGAGCGTGAATTCATCAGAGTATCCCAGCGTCCTGTTTGCAGGGCGAAGGGTACGAGCGAACGGAGCCTATGCCGTGACAATGTTTCACCGACACCACGAAGTAACACTCTCCCGTACGTGTTAAAGCATATTTTTTTCGATTTTCAGTTTTTTGGATTTTTAAACATTATTCATCAAGGCCTACCATTGCACGAATTAGTAATTCGTGCGAACGAATTAGTAATTCGTGCGAACGATTTAGGAAATTCCAAAAAAAAATTCCACCCTGTCCCTTCCCGGGCCTCATAGGTGTGTCCTAATTCATACTGCAATTTCCTAAAATTATATTGCACTCATTCTTCGGCGGTTCCTGTCAATTTTCGAGATTTTCGTGTCAAATAGCATGGCAAAATATTAGAGGAAATTTCATTGCAATACAATGTGCTTATCTTGAGTTCCCGTTATCACAATGTGCTTAAACATCTCGAATGGCCAGACGTCGGAGCGTGGTGAGCAGTACAGTGTTTGAGTAGCAGCTCTCTTTTGTAAGAAATTGTTGCATGACGATAAAATACGGAGTGTCCTTCATACTGGAATTTCATTAAATTATATTACATTCATTCTTCGGCGGTTCCTGTCGATTTTCGAGATTTTCGTGTCAAACACCATGGCAAAATATTAGAGGAAATTTCATTGCAATACAATGTGTTTATCTTGAGTTCCCGTTATCACAATAACTGTGCTTACATCTCGAACGCCCAGACGTCGGAGCGCGGTGAGCAGTGTTTGTGTAGTGCGCCCTCTTTTGTAAGAAATTGTTGTATGACAATACAATACGGAGTGTAGCGAACAATACGGAGTGTAGCGAAATCGGAAACGAAGCCGAGCTTTGAAAAAGGGCCTTGTCGTCATGTTTATTTTTAGCCAAGGAGACTGCCTGACCTCAACCTCGTCCCCAGTACTTACTTTATTTCCAACCGCGTTTCCAATAGTAAACCCTGGATAGGAAACTTTCTTCCTGTATTCTGATTGGATACCGCAATTGGCTAGTAATGGATTTTTATCGTGTACTTGGTGCTTTTATTCACAACGTGCAGTACGTGTTTTCGCGATCATTCGTCCACGCCTTCTCAAAAATACTAATTTCCTTTCCAATTTGCTCATATTAATATGAAATATGATACTGCATGTTGTCTCGATAAGATCGTTACAGTTTCATTCCAAAAATCGTGTTTTCATAACTCACGCCGCGCTCGCGCTGCTACGAATTGATCCTGTTTTTACCACAGACACCGCATGCAAAAACAAACGCTAATGTGTAATGCATATCCAGGCACCAGACTGTTTTGCATACGTGTTCAAAAATCTTGCACATGCAAAATAATGATCCATATACCAGGGTGAGAGAGCAGGTAGTGGTGGGCGCGTACTGCTCGACACCCTGCGGACGAGGTTGGCCTGACCTAAGATTCATCAGGAATAGTCAGAATCTTTTGGTCTGGGAACCAGACTAACAATAACTGTGCTAACATCTCGAACGGCCAGACGTCGGGCGCGGGGCGCGGTGAGGAGGGTTTGTGTAGCGCGCCCTCTTTTGTACGAAATTTTGTTGCATGACAATAAAATACGGAGTGTCCTAATAGTCCCCCAGCTAACACATTTACGTTGTAACAACGTGGCCACAAGGTCACGTTTTCCTGGCGGCAACGTTCAGAAAATTACGTTGCGGCAACTGTCGACTCGCGTGCACGTTGCCGCAACGCTATTACACAACGTTTAAATGACGTTATAAAAACGTCAACTCGGAAACATTTATTACAACGTTTTCAGTACACGATCCTGCAACCCTCCAGCAACGTAATTGTCACCTCTATGCAACGTCTTGGCACGTAAATGCGACATGATTACGACATGATTACCACCATGACGGAACGTTACTGCAACTTAATGACCACTTAAAATAAACATTTATACAACCTTGTGGGGACATGATTACACCATGATTGGCACGTTACTGCAACTTTTATTGGGACGTTCCTGCAACCTTATAGGCACGTCACGACAACTCTTTGGCCACGTTAATGCAACTTGTTGGACATAACTACAACCTGATAGGCACGTTTCCGCAACCTTAATGGGGACGTTCCTACAACCTTATGGGCACGTCAGTGCAACTTTTTGGCCACGTTAATGCAACTTGTAGGACACATTATTGCAACTTCATGGGCACGATGTGGGGACGTTTCTACAACCTTAATTGTTAGCACGTCAATGACTCATTACAGACGTTACTGCAACTAAGTCAACACTTTCCGGTAACTTTGTGGGCACCTCACAACTTTTCAAAAACGTTCACGCAACTTATTGGATAGGCTACGTCACTGCATCTTTGTGGGGACCTTTTAGCAACATTGTTCCTGGCAAGGTTAATTAACGAAACTAATCGTGCAACGACGATATACCTGTCTGCAAACAATTAAAAAAACCAAATTAACCATCAGACTTACTGTTTCTACATTTATTACAAAGAATGTATCCGGTGAATGCATGGAAGCAAACCTTCGTCAATCATTATTATTACAAAGCTAGTATAAATCTGATATAACAGTACAATGTCGCTTTCAGTTCGCCTATTTGAAAAAAAACACACATTAAAGCCTCTTAATTCAGTTAGAAAACCAATGCTCTAGTTTTGTGTGTGTTTTTTCTGGGAAGCAGGAACATCAACAGGAAACAGTTTGGGATTTTTTAAACGCATGTAAAACAGATTGCCCGCCAACGGCCTTATTTTGTCAGTTTCCCTTCAAAACGATAATGTGTCAGATTTTGTTTATATAATTATACATGTATTCATCTACAGCAAGGATGGGCAC